AACGAAGCCCAACACAAAATAAGTACAATCTGCATCATTTCATTTTTATTAAGCTCAAAATTGGCAAAATTAATCTATGTTATTAAAAGTCAGAATAGTATGTAGTTAGTTTTGAGGAAGAGAAGGAGTGACTAGGAATGGGCGCATGAGATGAGCCTCTAGGATTGTATTTCTTGATCTAGGTGGTGGTTAGACAGGTGTGTTTATGTTGTGAAAATTCATCAAGTCATATACTTGTGATGTGTGCCCTCTTCTCTGTGCGTGCTATACTTCAGTAAATAAGTTTCATATTTTAAAAGTAAAGAATCATTATCACTAGTATGGTAAGCTTCCTGCATAATGGTAGGGAAGGGTCAATGGAGCAATTCACTTGTTGCAAGTAAGACTGCATTAAAAGTAGTACTTATCATATATTCCTGGTGGGAATGCAAAATGGTACAGTCATTTTGGAAAACAGTTTGATAGTCTCTTATAAAGTTAAACATAAACTGACCATACAACCCAGCAATCCAGCCATCCCACTCCCAGATTTTTACTCAAGAGGAATGAAAACACGTGTCTATAAAAAAGACCTAGATGCAAATATTTAAGGCAGCTTTGTTCATAATAACCAAAAACTGGAAATAGCTCAAATGTCCATTAGCTGTCGAATAGATAAACAAACTGTGGTACATCTATGCAGTGAAAACTTCAGCTATAAAAAGAAACTACTGAGGGGCTGGCCCGTGGCCCACTTGGGAGAATGTTGTGCTGATGGCACCAAGTCAAGGGTTAGGATCCCCTTACCAGTCATCTTTTAAAAAAGGGGGGGGGCCAGCCCGTGGCTCACTCAGCAGAGTGCAGTGCTGATAACACCAAGGCCGCGGGTTCAGATCTCTATATAGGGATGGCCGGTTTGCTCACTGGGTGAGCGTGGTGCTGACAACACCAAGTCAAGGGTTAAGATCCCCTTACCGGTCATCTTTAAAAAAAAAAAAATGAAACTACTGAGACATGGAATAAATTACTGAGACATGCAACAACATAGATGAATCTCAAACACATATGCTAAGTGAAATAAATCAGATACAAAAGGCCACATACTGCATGATTTCATATATATGCCATTCCGGAAAAGGCAAAGCTATAGGAATAGGCTGAAGTGGGGGTAGCGGGATTGATTATCAAGGGGTACAAGGTAAGTTTTTTGGCTGATAAAAATATTCTATATCTTAATTGTGGTGGTGATTACACAACTACATACATTTGTCAAAACTCATTGACTATTCACTAAAAATGGTAAATTTTATATGCGCCGATTGTATCTTAATAAACTTTTTTTTTTTCCTTTTTGTCTTTTTTACTGACCGGTAACGGGATCGCAACCCTCGGTGTTGTGCCCGCACCGGGGACTGGCAACGGGACCGCAACCCTCAGTGTTGCTCCTGCACCGCACTCAACCAGCAAGCAGGAACCGGTCTCCCCATGGGATCTG